CGGCTGTGCTCGGGGCTTACTCCTGGCTCTGCACTCAGGATCACTCCTGCAGGGCTGGTGGACCCTTTGGGGTGCCGGGGATAGAGCCCAGGTGGGCTGCGTGCAAGGGCAACTCCCTCCTCTCTGTGCTATCACTGGGGTCCGCATGCCCCCGGGAGTCCCTCCACAGTGGCCCCTCCCTGGCATGGAAGTGGAGGTGGCCCTGCTCCTCGCTGCATTCTGTACCCCAGATAGGCAGTTTTCCCAAAGTGGAACCCAGGGCACAACTGAGAAGCAGGCTGGTTCCCAGCGGCCGCCCGCCCTTCCCTCCTCTTTTACCTGGGGGGGTTTCCGCTTCTGGGCACGTGTGTAAAGCGAGCCCCGAGCACTAGGGGCGCTGCTGGACCTCGCCCGTCCGGGGACGGCAACCTGCTCGCGGGGCTGAGAGCCACCTTGGTAAGGGGACCTGCTGGGAGCTAAGCCCAGACCACCCCCAGGTGTGACCCCCCAATCAAAATCAGGGTGGGGGGTTCATAAGGAAGAATCAGGATTTGGGGCCGCAGGTTCCAACCTGGGCAAGACTGGGCACATCCCCGGCACCTGCACCCCAGAAGCCCACCCCCCCTCGAAGACCCTCACCCTCATTTGGGGAAGTTCTGAGACTCCGACAGACCTGAAAGCCACTGCATGGCAGGGCAGCTGGGGCTTGGAGAGCTGGAAGGGAGCCCCCTGCCAGCCAGGGGGGCCGGTCCTCTGACAAGCCCCGCTTAAAAGGCCCCCCCCCCGCCCCCCCCCCCCCAGCTGTGGGCAGTGCCAGCCCAGTCAGGGGGCAGAGGGATGTTGCTGTCCCAGAGCGTCCTGGGCCGATTCTCACCTCTGCACGTGGATTTCCTCTCAACTCCTCTGGACTGTCCATTTTCCTCCCTCCCTCCCTCCCTCCGCCCCCACCCCCTTGCTGGGGTGGAATCTGGGGCCTCATGCCTGCTAGGCCCACACCCCACCCCTTGGGACCATCTCCTTAGCCTCATTCTATCTGCCTTTGGAGCAGTCAGACCTACAATCACCCTCCTTTTACTTGGCCACACAAAGCAGTGGTCAGGGCTGACTCCTAGCCCAGTGCTCAGGGATTCCTCCTGGTGGGGCTCCAGGGAGCCCTTCGGATGGCAGGGATTGAACCTGAGTCAGTCAGGGGCAAGGCAAGCGCCCTCCCCGATGTACTGTCATAACTCCATCCTCTGGCCTTTTTATTTATTGAGGTGGAGGGGATCGAACCCAGGCACAGGGGGGGAGGGCGCTCGCCTTGTACATGACTTGTAGGATCACACTGGTTTGTGCTTTCTCCTCTGCCACCAAGAGTTTAGGTTTATCGGGTGATAGCCATCACAGTGTTCCTGAGCCACCTCCATTCCTCTGTGTTTATTGGGATGTAGCTCTGAACATTTTAGGGTAACACTGGTATGTCCTGTTGCCCTTGCCAGAGGGAACTCAGTTTTATCACAGTGCTCCTGAGGCACTTCCACTCCATTGTGCTTATCTGTAGACTCTTCTCTATGCTCTCTTCCCCAACCGGTCTATCACCTTTCCCTCTGTTAACTTGTAAGGTCACATTCCTCAGAAATCTATGATTTTTATATCTGTGACTGAAATATTGCTTTTCTCCTCTCCCTACGTATTTTTGCATAGTTTACTTTATTTATTAATTTTGCTTTTTGGGTCACACCTGGCAATGCACAGGGGTTACTCTTGGCTCTGCACTCAGGAGTTACTCCTGGCGGTGCTCAGGGGACCATATGGGATGCTGGGAATCGAACCCGGGTCGGCCGTGTGCAAGGCAAATGCCCTACCCGCTGTGCTATATCTCCAGCCCCTGCATAGTTTACTTTAAAGCAATGTCCTTTTTCTGGAGTGATAGCACAGCGGGTAGGGCGTTTGTCTTGCACGCGGCCCGACCCGGGTTTGATCCCCAGCATCCTATATGGTCCCCTGAGCACGGCCAGGAGTAGTTCCTGAGTGCACGAACCAGGAGTAACCCCTGAGAATCGCCGGATGTGACCCAAAAAAAACAAAATAAATAAATAAATAAATAAAGCAATGTCCTTTTGGTACAGACACAGGAAGACAGCTAATATTATTCTTTTGTAACTTGGGAGTCAATTGACTCTGAATAATATTTACTCCTGGCCATCTCTCTCTCAACTTAAGCCTCAGTTGCCCTTAGTTCCTAGCACCCCAAAAGCAGAGTCCTGACGAGGGACTGAATGGACCCAGGGCAAGCTGTGAGCTACCCTGGCATCGAAATGGACCAGGCCAAAGCACCACGGTACTTAATATAAGTTAAGAGCATGGTCATGGACAAATGCTGTCATGATCCAAAAAGTAATGACGACATCAGGACCCTGCTAGGGTTAGGAAAGACTAATCTGACCTGAGCACTGTAGTCTGAGATCTATAGCAAGATAGCCCCAGGAGAGCTATCCTATAAGCTTAATGTATCTCTTACTGTGTCCATGGGCTGGAGCGATAGCACAGAGGGTAGGGCGTGTGCCTTGCATGCAGCCAACATGGCCAACCCGAGTTCAATTCCTCCGCCCCTCTCGGAGAGCCCGGCAAGCTACCGAGAGTATCTCGCCCACACGTCAGAGCCTGGCAAGCTACCCGTGACGTATTCGATATGCCAAAAACAGTAACAACAAGTCTCACAATTTGTTGTGAGACGTTACTGGTGCCCGCTCGAGCAAATCGATGAACGAGAGGACAGTGCTACAGTACTACTGTGTCCATACAAAATGATTAATATTAGGAATGCTTATGTTTGTTGGGGCTGGAGCAATAGCACAGAGGTAGGGCATTTGCCTTGCACAGCCAGCCTGGCCAAGCCGGGTTCGATTTCTCCGCCCCTCTCGGAGAGCCCGGCAAGCTACCGAGAGTATCTCACCTGCACGGCAAAGCCTGGCAAGCTACCTGTGATGCAATCAATATACCAAACACAATAACAAGAAGCCTCAAAACGGAGACATTACTGGGCCCGTGCGAGCAAATCGATGAACAACGGGAGGACAGTGTGACAGTGTATATGTTTGTTGGCCAAGGAGAGGAGAAACACACCCATGGGATTCCCTTGGGAGGGTCGTCCTGCTGAGTGAGAATCTGTCCTAGAAGCAGCTTCCCCTGAGGGGAGGACTTTACCTCTGTTGATTGTATGACCACACCTACATGTAGTTATTACCCCGACCCCTCATGCTCGGGGATTTAACTAGGCTGTAAGAGTGGGCTGGGGAGGCAGAAAGAGAATGAAGTGGGATCGAGGAGGAGAATGAAGTAGCATGGGGGAGGGAGAAGCAGGAGGAGAATCAGAGATGGAGATGGGAATGGAATAAACTGTGACTAGGACCAACCAGCCTGGCCCTCGTTTCTTCTTCCTTCGTCTGCCCATCCCCATCAGCCTCCTCGGGGCGGGGGAAGCGGCGTGAGACCAATGAACGCAGGCAGCGGAGAGGGAGCTGCAGCCTGCGAGACCCTTTCCTATTTTATTAAGTACACAATGACTGGCCCAGGTTCAATCCCTGCCACCCCGTAGGGGTTTCCTGGAGTCCCACCAGGAGGGATCCCTGAGCATGGCGCTGTCCCCCAGCACCCCTATATGATCCCTGAGTCCCTCAGGAGGGACCCCTGAGCACATGGCCAGGCGTCACCCCCCCAAATAAATGAATGAGTGGCTTTTAGTGGACACCAGATGCGCCCGATATAGGATAGTGTCCACTCTCTTCCACCAGACCCTCCCCATGCCCCCCACCCCGTCCCCTCTGCTCCTGGACCAGGGTCAAGAGGGTCGTGGTGGCAGCTCCTCCTTTGGCTCCTGGGCTCCCTCTCCCCTGGTCACTGTCCCTGCCCCAGCAGTGTCTGCTAGTTGGTGCTAGTTGGCCCAGCGTCCAGCCCAATCAGGAAGCTCTCAGGAAACATGGGGCCTTTTTCAGGGTCCACGGGGAGGTGGGGGGTGGGGGCCCAACTGCAAAGCCTGTGGAGAGCCGGCAGCCTGGTGCAGGGGCTTCGGCTTGGCTTCTTCCACCCAGCCCCCCGAGTCACCGCCTGAGAGACCACCACCACCGGGGGGTCCTGGACCTCGGTCACAAGCTTTATTGTCTCGAGCACGGACTCGCCACACTTCAACAATTCCACTTTGGGGGCGGTAGGGGGAACGCCTGGGGCAACGGCCGGCGGGGGGGGGGGGGGGGTGGTGGTGCACACCTTCCTCCTGCACCCTGGCCCTCTGGGGCCCCAGGCATGGGGAAGGGACGGTTGGAGCCCAAGTCCCGGGTTTGTTGGGTCGAGGCCGCAACCTCTGGGTTAGGCCCGAAAGCGTCGCTTCTAGGCTTGTTTGCAAACTGCAAGCGCCAGCTACAGAAAGGCGGGGGGCAGGGGGTGGGCACCCCCAGCGGTGTGGGGAGACTCCTGAGTCACTGGGCATTCCCGGACACAACCTCCACTGTGTGCACTCTGGGGGCTACGGGGGTCCCCCTGCAGCCCTGTGGGAGCCGAGGCGGCCTCTGTGTGTGTGTGTGTGTGTGTGTGTGTGTGTGTGTGTACCTCTCTGCTGATCCTGGGAACCAGTCACCAGGCGGTCCTCAGCTCCATGTGGGTGGGACTCCCTGGTCTTGCCTGCTATGCAAGGGCAGGGTTTTCTGGTCCCCCCCAGCCCCGGGGTCCTTCCCTGACTACAGGAGGGGCCTTAGATGCTGCGCCAGAGAGAGCAGGAGTGTGGCCAGGTGGGCACGCAGCCACATAGACCCCAAGCAGACAGTGCCCCATTCCCCCCAGCGTGTCCAGCTCCACGGCCAACCTGGCCCGGTTAGTGGCGGGGAACGAACGAGGAGGGGGGCCCCCCAAATGTCGCTAATACTGTGGCTGTAGTGTGATGGCCTGTCAGCAGCAGGTCGGCGCTGAGCCCCCACCCCAGCATCCGGGGGCTCTCCGGTAGCTGGGCCAAGGGGAGAGTGGTGTGGAAACGAGGTCCCTCGTGGAAGAAGCCGGGCCCCTCGGGGGAAATGGCTTTCTGGGGTCTGAGGGGCTCGGGAGAAGGGGGAGAGAGGGTGGGTGGGGTGGGGCGATCCGGGTGCCCCGAGGGTCCTCAGACAGTGCCTTCCGGGGAGGGGGCCTGGCCCAGGGGCCTCCACTGCCCCAAACAGACCCCAGGAACGGCGGGGTCTGGAATGAAGGTCCGGGGGGCCAGGCCCGGCTGTACCGCTCTCGGGAGGCTGTGACTGGGCCTCCTGGTCTGGACAGGGACGAGGGATTGTCCTCCGCGGTGGCTGCGTCACACGGTTCTCACACTGTCACCACAGCCGCTCTCCGCTCCAAAGTGACAATTCTGGCGCCTGCCTGGAGGGGGTGGCGCCTAGGCAGGCCGGAGGGGCGCGGTACCAGCGGGCAGCTCCACGGCCAGGCAGCTCCTCCGTGTCCCGGGGTCAGTGCTTGTCCTGGAGAGAAGGACCTGGTCAGGCGGCCCCTGACCGGAGGGTGGGCTCCGGCCGTGGCCGGCGGCGCGGGCGGGTGGGCAGGCGGGCGGGCTGCGGGACCCTCACCTCCTGTTTGTGGGCCTTGTCCTGCTGGTGGACGCCGTTGGCCGAACCCGAACCTCCGAGGGCCTGCCAAGTCCAGAGCAGCGGCGGCTGAGCCCGGGGCGCTTCCCGACCCCCGCCCCGCGGGGGCATCCCCCTCCCGAGCCGGGGGTCCCGGGACGCGGGGGCTGCGGGGTCCCGCACCAGCCTCGCCGGGGCGCACCTGCGACTTGTCGGGGTGGCTCCTCAGGGCCTCCAGGAGCTTCTCCACCTGCTGCGTCTGGTCCAGCGCGGCCCGCAGGGCGTCCTCGGTGCTCACGAGCTGGTGCTGCAGCCGCAGGAGCTCCGGGGCCGACGACGGGTCGATGAGCGAGAAGCGCCGCTGCTCCGACAGCGCCTTCTCCTTGTCCTGCGGGCGGGCGCAGCGTGACCGTCCCCGTCCCCGGGCCGCTCGGAGGCCGGCCCTCCGCCCCGGGGGTCCCGGCCCCGCCCCCCACCCCCACGCACCAGACCCGTCAGCTTCTCCCGCAGGCCCCGGATGTCGTCCTTGAGCTTCTGCTCCTTGATGCGCCACTCGGCCTTGTGCACCTCGCGGCCCAGGTCTCGCTCGGGCCCGGGCGAGTGCCGGTTCGCCTCCAGCAGCAGCACCCGGAGCTCGTTCAGGCTCCTTGGGGGCGGGCAGAAGGGCGGCGGTCACCGGAGGCCCCGCCCACCCACACAGCCCCTCCCACCGGAGACCACGCCCGCCCGAGGCCCCGCCCACAAAACAGACCCTCCCACCAGAGTCCAAGCCCAACAGCGGCAAAGCCCACCCAAAAGCACCTCCCACCAGAGACCACGCCTACCGGAGGCCCCTCCCACCAGAGACAAGCCACAAGGAGGCCCTGCCCACCTAAAACAGCACCTCCCGCCGGAGACCACGCCCACCGGATGCTCCGCCCACCCGAACAGCCCCCGCCCACCGGATGACCGCCCACACAGCCTCTCCCGCCAGAGACCACGCCCACCCGCTGGAGGCCCCTCCCACAGACAGACCCTCCCACCAGAGTCCACGCCCACCAGTGGCCCCGCCCACCCAAACAGCCCCTCCCGCCGGAGACCACGCCCACCGGATGCTCCGCCCACCAGAACAGCCCACACAGCCTCTCCCGCCAGAGACCACGCCCACCCACTGGAGGCCCCTCCCACAAACAGACCCTCCCACCAGAGTCCACGCCCACCGGAGGCCGGGCTCTCCCAAACAGCGCCTCCCACCAGAGAACACGCCCACCAATAACCCCGCCCTGCAGTGACCCCGCCTCCCACAACATCCCCGCCTCTACAGCCACCAGCCCCAAACACCAGCACTCCAGCAACCAAATCCAGAGAGGCCCATCCCAGCAGCCACGCCCACTCCGCCGACCACCACCCAGCCCAGCCCAGCCTCAAACCATCCACAACAGCCCCGTCCCACCACCCCGGAGACACACCCACCCCGCAGCTCCGCCCACAGCCCCACCACCCCGCCCACAGCCCCTCCCACCCCAGCAACCACGCCCACTCCGGAGTCTCGCCCACCTGGCGGTCACACTGGCTATTCAAGCTGCCTCAGTGTCCCTCTCAGAAGTCCCCAAGGCACTAGGATTGGGGTCAGGAGAATCTTGAAGCCTTGGCTTCCCCAGAACTCTGTGTGTATGTGTGTGTGTGTGTGTGGTTTGCCGTCACACCTGGTGATGCTCAGGGGTGACTGCTGACTCTGCACTCAGTAATAACTCTGGCTGTGCTCAAAGGAACATACGGGATGCCGAGGATAGAACTCAAACGGGCTGAGTGCAAGGCAAACGCCCTACCCACTGTACTCCCTCACCAGCCTCCGCACATTTTTTAATAGATTTTTATTAAAAACACCTTGATTTACAAAGTTGTACATTATACAGTTTGTTTCAAGCCTTCAGGACATCTTTTAAGGTTTTTCAATTGTGCTGCCAGGGGTCCATACACGGCTTCATACCCAAGGAAGTGTTTGTGTGACAAAGAAGTCCTTGGCCTCTTTAGAGTTTTAAAGATCAGAATAAAGGTGGGAAAAGAATTTCGAGTTGGGTGTGGAGCAGGTATAGCAGGCAGGGCGCTTGCCTTCTTTGTGGCTCATTCAGGTTTGATCTCCAGCACCCCATATGGTCTCCTGAGCACTGCCAGGAGTAATTCCTGAGCACAGAACCAGGAGCAAGCCCTGAGCATTGCCAGGTATAGCCGCCCTCACCCCCCAAATCATCAAGGATTTTTTGTTTGATTTTGGGTCACACCCAGTGGTTTTCAGGACCTAATCCTGGCAATGATCAGGGGGACCATATGGGATGCCAGGGATTGAACCTGAGTGGGCTGTCTGCAAGGAAGGCACTATAGTATGCTCAGTATAGTATCTCTCTAAGCCTTTTAAAGATTTTAATTTTTTTGCTTCCTTTTGGGGTCACACCCAGCGATGCTCGGGGTTACTCCTAGCTCTGCACTCAGGAATCACTCCTGGCGGTGCTCGGGGGACCATATGGGATGCTGGGAATCGAACCCGGGTCAGCCGCGTGCAAGGCAAACACCCTACCTGCTGTGCTATTGCTCCAGCCCCAGGGAGAAGTTTCTTAAGAACTTTTCAGGGCTCTCATGGGTCAAAACTACTTTCATGAAAATGACATTTTCACTATAATTTTTTTTGGGGGGTCACACACTTGGTGCTCAGGGGCCATTCCTAGTTTCTGTGCTCAGAGGATCAGGTGGGGTCTGGGGATTAAACTGGGATTGGCTGTGTGCATGGCCAAGCACCTCACCCCTGTACTATTTCTCCTGCCTTCCACTATCGTTTCTTGGGAGTGTGTAATTTTTCCTTTGTGCCACATGAAATATTAGTATTTACCTGAAAAGACTATTCAGATGCTTTTGTGGGGTGGGGTGGGGGGGCGGGTAGGGTCACACCTGGCAGAAGTCTCCCAGCTCTGTGGTGGGGATTAGTCCCCTCTATGCTGGGAACCGTGCAGGGCTGCTGGGGTCAAACCAGGATTGGCCACAAGCAACATAAGCACTTTGCCCACTCAGCTGTCTCTCCGACTCTGAAATACTCTTAAAAAAAAAAAACCCACAATCTACGTATCTAAATAAGGCAAGATTTTCAAAATGCACTTCAACCAAAACAACAATTTGCAAGAATTAATTGCTGAAGAAATGGGAATCCAGCTGTTTTCTTTGAAGCAATGTTTAAGAAATTTGCAAAAAAAAAAAAAAAAGAAAGGAAAGAAAAGAAAGAACGAACCCCACTCTTCTCACTAAATATATTTTGTTTTAGGAAACAGCAAGCTTATCTAAAGCATGCAATTTAATTGCAGTCTCCAACCCTTCAAACTTGCAGGCTGGTGCGCATCCTACACACGGCTCTGCAGACGGCCACTGGGAACCCAGGCGGGAGTCGGGGGTTTCAGCTTCCTCCATCTGCAGCCCGCAGCGGCCCAGGGTCTGCAGGCAAAGAAGCTTCTGGCCTGCAATTTGCTTACTACTGCTTTGGTAAGGGGTGACAAATTTCTTTTTTTCTTTTGGCTTTTTGGGCCACACCAGTGGTGCTCAGGAGTTACTTCTGGCTCTGCACTTTGGAATCACTCTTGACAAGCTCAGGGGATGCCGGAGATTGAACCCTGGTCAGCTACGTGCAAAGCCAGCACCTTACCTGCCATACTATCACTCCAGTCTCAGGAGACATTTTTTCAATTTCTTGTTTAATGGATATCAGAGAAAATCTAAAATACACACCAAAACTCTTTGGGAAGCCTCAGTGATTTGTGGGAGTATGAGCATGAGTGCCTGTGTGTGCATGTGTGAATGTGTGTGCATGCATGTGTGTACATGTGAGTGCATGAGTGTGCATGCGTGTTGTGCACACGGGTGTGTACGTGAGAGTGCGTGTGTATGCATGGGTGTGTGTGTGTGTATGTGTGAGAGAGCATGCGTGCATGTGTGTGTGCGTGTGTGCATGTGTGTGCTGGGTTCTGAATTCAGGGCCCCCGCTCTGAGCTGGCTCTTGGTGACTCCCAGGCACCTGCTGACCTCAGCTGGTGACCTGTGCTGAGGGGGCAGTGAGGGGTGGCGGGGTGGCCGCCCGGACTCACCGCTCCTTGCGAAGCAGCTCTTGGCTGATGAGCACCAGCTGGCCCGAGGCGTCGTGCGTCTTCCTGGACACGGCCTCCAGCTCGGCCTCCAACCGCCGCTTCTCCTTCAGCAGAGCCTCTGCCCGCTTCTCCCCTGACCTGCACTTGCCCTCCAGGGCTGGAGTCAGCGTCAGGAGGGGAGGAAGAGGCCTGAGCCGGGGCAGGAGCAGTTGCGGGTGGGTGGGTGGGGCTCTCATCCCGTAGCATGGGCCGAGGAAACCACTCCCAGAGCAGACCCAAAGCCCCCAGCAGCAGTGCCCACTGTTGCTACCACCAGGGCCCGGGGGTGAGCTGGGCCTGTCCCATCAGAGCAGGTGAGAGTCTGGGCAGGGCTGTGGGGGGTCACTCTCCGGAACCCCACACTAGCACCCTGAACCCCTCTCCGCAGTGCTCTGCCATCCAGGCCTGGCTGGGACAGGTGTGCTGAGGCATGGCAGGGACCAATCTCGGAGAGGGGTCAGGAGTGGGGTCCCCATGCCCACCAAGGTGAGTGACCCTGCCTGGCACCCTGTGTGGTTCCGCTGGTTGCAGGAGTGAGACTTACCACTTACTTGGGCCCTGAGCTGTTCACTCTGTGAGGTCAGGGCAGCCACCTCCTTGTCCCTCTTGTTCAGCTTGTCCTGGAGGACTGGGAATGGGGGGCAGGGGTGTCAGGACTCCAGGGCTGAGGCTGGACACAGCAGGCCACGGGGGTTGGGGTCCCTCCACAGGAGCCCTAAGACAGAGTCCTCTCGGCACAGCTCCCAGGACAAGGAGCCAGGACTCCCCCACCCTGTCTCCATGTCCTCAAGAGAAACAGGGAGACTTGGTTTCAAGGGGGCCCGGGTCCAAGCAGCCTTGGGGAGGACAGTGCATGGAAAGTGCTAGAAAGCAGTGAGCTGGGAGCAGAGCCACTGTTCAGAGGGGAGGGAACCGGCCTTGCACAAGGTCGACCTGGGCCTGATCCCCCGTCCCCCGTCTGGTCCCCCGAGCACTGCCAGAAGTGGTCCTTGAGTACAAAGGCAGGAGTCAGCCCGGTGCACACCGGGGGTGGCCCGGCCCCCTCGAATCCCCAGAGCAGAGTGCACCCCGGGATCCTCAGCAGCCCGGATCCATCGAGGACCCGAAAGACCTGTGGTATGTCCTCCAGGTGGGCTGCGTCAGAGCCAGGGACACCGCCTGTCCCCTGCGGTGTGTGGTATGTGCTCATACCAGCGCAGATGAGCCCCTGTGAGTGGGGGAATGATGGGGCAGCCACAGGCACTGGGATCTACTTCAAGGGGCAGCGCCTGCCCGGGCACCTGGCCAACTGCAGCCTGCAGCGCCCACCTCTCCTGTGGCCACTCACCCTCCAGGGCCTCCTTCATCCTCAGCTTCTCCCCGGAAATGTCGTCCGGCTCAATCATCTGCAAGAGGGGCCTTGTGAGGGGACACTCCGCCGGCCCTCCACCCCCACCCCCCAACAAACTGGCGTTCGGGTACCAGAGATGTGGACGGGAGTTACAGCCATCCTCACCCCGGTCTTCCTGACCCCAGAGGCGCGCTGCCTTGAGCTGCTGGCACGGAGGCCAGTGGTCTGACCCCTTCCTTTTGTTTCTGGCCCATCCCTGATGGGGCTCAGGATTAAACTCCTGGCAGTACTTGGGGGACCCTATGGGATACCGGGGATTGAACCTAGGTCGGCTGCATGCAAGGCCAGTGCCCTGCCCGCTGGACTATCTCTCTGTATCTCTGTTTCCTTTGTTAAGAGCCTTGAGGCCCGGGTCAGAGTGATAGCACAGCGGGGAGGGTGTTGGCCTTGCACATGGACTACCTGGGTTCAAGCCCCGGCATCCCATAGGGGTCCCCAAGCACTGCCAGCTGAGTGCAGAACCAGGAGTAACTGCTGAGCATCACTGGGAGTGAAGCCAAAAGACAGACAGAAAGAAAGAAAGAAAGAAAGAAAGGAGAAAAAGAAGAAAAAAAGAAAAGAAAGAGAAAGAAAGAAAAGAAAAAAATGAAGAGAAAGAAAAGAAAAAGAAACAAAGAAAAAGAAAGGAAACAGAAAGAAAAGAAAAAAAATTTAAAAAAACGAACCAAGAGGCACCTTAACACACAAGTTCCCTCCCTGCGGCCTTGCTACCATTCTTGTTCTTCCCAAGACTTCTCTGGAGTAATAAACTTAGACACTGGACTAGAGCGATAGTACAGCGAGCGTGGGGGGGTGTTTGCCTTGTATGTGGCCAACCTGGGTTCGATCTCCGGCATCCCACGTGGTCCCCCAAGCACCGCGTTGGGGAGTAATTCCTGAGTGCAGAGCCAGGAGTAAGCCCTAAGCAATGCCAGGTGTGGCCCAAAAGCCAAAAAACAAACAAAAAAAAAACAGCACCAGAGTATCAACTGGGGCGGGGTGGAGAACGAAGAGCTCGTCCAGCAGGGAAGGCGCCTGCCTCACACGTGTCTGACCTGGGTTTGCTCCCTGGTACCGCACTGGGTGGCCTAAGTCCCACCAAGAGTGCGCCCGGAGCACAGTACCGGGAGTAAGCCCTGAGCATTGCAGAGGGTGACTCTGTCAAACCAAACCCGATAAAACCCGGGTGGGCAAGTCCCCAGGGTCCCTGACTGTCCTTGCACCGGGTCTGCAGCCAGGGCTGCTCACCCCTCCTGTCGCACACACTCGGCTCGGACCCCTGAGCCCTGTTTCAGTTTGCACCCCCAGACCCCAGGGGGCACGCACAGCAGCAAATGGGGGTCATATTCAACACCCAGAAATATGTCTTTGGCTTCTCGAACTCAGAGCAAGAGACCCAAATAATCCAGCTGTGGAGCCTCTGAGAACTCGGGAGATGGGCAGGCTCAGACCGAGGCCCTGTGCACGCAGAAACCGACAGATGGGTGGACATCCTGGACCCCACTGCCCTGGCTTCCCAGACCTCCTCCCGGAAGGGGCCGCTTCTGGTGCGTAAAACATCCAGGACTGGCAGGAAGCGGGTTCCCCGGGCTTCCTGAGGCCGAGGCTTGAACTGTGTCTTCCGGCGGGTGGGGCCAGCCCCGTCCCAGAACTGAGGAAGCCTGTCCGGGGGCGGCTCAGCCACTGCATCTCTCCTACTGTCTTTTTTTTTCTTTTTGGGTCACACCCAGAGACTCAGGTTACTCCTGGCTCTCTGCACTCAGAGGTTACTCCTGGTGTTGCTTGGGGGACCATGTGGGATGCCGGGAATTGAACCCGGGTCGGCCGCATGCAAGGCAAACACCATCCCCACTGGACTATTGCTCCGGCCCCTCTCCTACCATCTTTGTGTGTGTGTGGGGGGGGGGGGGTGTAGAGGGGGATGGACACCACACCACAATGCTCGGGGCTTCCTCCTGCCTCTGTGCTCAGAAATCACTCCTGGCTGGACTCGGGGAGGTTCGAACCCAGGTCGGCTTTGTGCGAGGCCAATGCTCTCCCCACAGTGCTTTCTCCAGCCCCCGCTGTGTTCTTGGCGACCTGGCGGTGGCCAGCCTGGACCACGCCTGCTGTACCTTGTCCATGCAAGAAACCCGCTCCATCCTCAGCCCCAACGGGGGGAGGGGGTTTCCTGCTCTGAGCCAGGCCTCCCCCTACCCCCCCACCACCTCCCAGGGCCTTCCTCTCTCTCCAGCGGGGGTGGGGCGGGAGGGAGGACCGGCGGTCGCCTACGTTGCTTTGCTGGGCCGAGCAGCGGGTCTCGGCGGCCTGGAGCCGGTTCTCCGCCACCAGGAGCTTCTCGCGCAGCCTCTCGGCCTCCTGCCGGCTCTGGGCCTCCGCCCACTGCAGCTGCTCGTAGTCCAGCATCTTCTTCTCGGCCAGCGCGATCTGCTCCTTGAGGAACTCGATGGCCTGCGCCTGGCCGCGGTACTCCACGTCCAGCTTCTCCAGCTCCTGCACCCGCAGCTCAGCGTCGCGGGCCTGGTCATGGGCCTCGCGCAGCTCCAGCCGGTGCTGGCTGGCCTGCGCCTCCAGCTGGCCCTGCCAGTGCTGCCGCAGGCCGGCCAGCTCCTCCTGGGCCTCCTGCAGCCGCTGCCGCAGGCCCTCCTTCTCCTTGGCGTGCACGGCCGTCTCCAGCTCGTGCTTGGCCTGCAGGTTGCCCAGCTCCAGCTGGTGCTCCATCTTGATGCCCTCCATCACGGCCTTCAGCTCCCCGATCTCCTTCTGCTGGGCGCCGGGGCCCGAGTTCAGGGTGGCCTTGAGGTCCTCCAGGGACTTCTGGTGGTCCGAGGCCAGCGAGTCCAGCTTGGACTTCCAGTTGTCCATCAGCCCCATGTTCTCGCTGGTGGCCTGCTGCACCCGGGCCTTGAGGTCGGCCACCTCCTGCGCGTACTTCTCGTTGGCCGCCCGCAGCTGCTCGGCCTCCGCCCGGTAGGCCCGCAGCGCCTTCTCGAACTCGTCCCGCAGCAGCCCGCGCTCCCGCTGGTGCTCCTGGCTGGCCGCCAGCAGCCGCTCCCGCAGCCGCAGGGTCTCGGCCGCCTCGGGGTGGTCGGCGGGCGGCGGCCCCGAGTTCAGCAGGCACTGCTGCAGCTCCTCGATCTCCCCGCAGCGCAGGCTCAGCTCCTCCTCCAGCTGCAGCACCCGCGACTTCTCGGCCACCGTGGTCAGCTGGCGGGGAGAGAGGGGCGGCGTGAGGGCCGTGGCGGGGCGTGCGTGGGCGCGGGGAGGGGGGCCCTCCCTCTCCCTCCTCTCCTCCTCCTCCTCCTCTTCGGCACTCAGGGGTCCCGGTTCTAGTGCGGGGAAGGGAAGGAAGGGAGGGCACAGCCCCCAGGAAGACCCCCGGCTTGGAGCCGGATGACGGCATGATTTGGGCTGTCAAGGTCCCCATGGGGTCAAGCTGGTGGCTGAAAGAAACCGTTTGTGGTTTTTTTGTTTGTTTGTTTTTAGTGGGGGGGCGGGGCCCGCCCGGCTGTGTTCAGGGTTGACTCCTGTCTCTGTGCTCAGGGATCACTCCTGCTGGGGCTCGGGGGACCCTATGAGACGCCGGGGAAATGAACCCCGGCTGGCTGCGTGCAAGGCAAGCACCTTCAACGTACTATCTCTCTGGCCCAAGTTTCGGCTTCTTACAAGCGTTATTCTTTTGGCTTTGGGGCTATACTGGTAGACCTCGGGGAATTTTCCAGATGTGCTGTTTGGGGGAAGGGGCATGCAGTGTCTGGGATTCACCCCAGGCCTCCTGAATTCCCGCCCAATGACCGACCCCTGGCCCCTGCTAATTCTTTTTTTTTTTTTTTTTTGCTTTTTGGGTCACACTCGGCGATGCTCAGGGGTTACTCCTGGTTCTGCGCTCAGGAATTACTCCTGGCGGTGCTCAGGGGACCATACGGGATGCTGGGAATTGAACCTGGGTCAGCCGCGTGCAAGGCAAATGCCCTACCCGCTGTGCTATTGCTCCGGGCCCCCTGCTAATTCTATTTTTATCTTTTTCTGTTTTCTCTGATGGGGTACTCAGCAGTGCTCTGGACTGAGTCCTGGCTCTGTGCTTGGGGTTTGCTCTTGGCAGGGCTCAGCACATGTGCCTGGAAACAAATCTGGGCTGGTCGCATGCCAGTCAAGTGCCTTCTCCCAAGTACTGTCTCTCCGGCCTCACTAATGCTCTTTGTAAAGGACAGAGATGCAGAGCGAAATTGGCCTGTGGCTGTTCTGTGAAGTTCTGCAGCTGGACGGGGTTGGTTCATGGAACTGAGAGTAGCACCCGAGGCAGTCTGGCCTAATGTGGAGCGGAATCCACATGGGATGATCCACTCGGGCTGGAAACTCGGGGACGAGTAGGGCTCCGGCCCACAAAAACCACCTGGGTCACGCGCCAACGGCAGCACCTGGACACACTATCTCTGGAGGGTTCAGCCTTTCGTGAGCGTGAAAGCAGGTGATCGTCACTCCATAAGCCTGTTTCCTGGGGACTGGCCACCAGCGCGGGGGTTCCAGCCCCTCGCCAGGGCCTGACCCAGTGGGTTTCTGCACACATGTGCAGTTGCCCAGGGCACCCACTGCAGAGATGCTAACAGTTCCGACCGTGCGTGCTGCACTAGTAGAAACTGCCTGCAGGGGGCGCCAAGTGCCAGCCGGGCCAGGAGCCTGGACTCCCAGAGCGTGCTTCCCGGGACAGTGAGACCAAGGCTGATACAGTGTCCCTGGGGACACCCCGTCCCCGCCCCCCCCCCCCGCCCACCTCACCACTTCCTCCAGCCCAGGCCCCTTCCTGGGGCTAGAGAGAGCTGGATGTGGTGGTGGTGGGGGGTGGGTGGGAGATGTGGGCAGGAGGGCGCCACGCCTGCCCACGGAAGGGAACACGATGGAGCTTGGTCATGAGGCAGGGGCCGGTCTCAGGAAAGGGACCAGGAGGGGGCTGGGGAGTCAAGACCGCACCCCCCTTCCTTCCAACTCTACTGTCCTGGAAGGGGGTGTGAGAGGAGAATGGAGCTGGGGGGTAGCCAGAGAGGGGGGCGGGCGGGCGGGCGGTTACCCTGTTGTCCGCTAACTCGCGGAGCAGCCGCTCGGCCTGCGCCTTCTCCAGTAGCAGGCTCTGCTCCAGCTCCCCAACGCGCGCGTGCTCCAGCTGCGTCTGAGTCTGCTCGGCCCGGGGCGTGCGGGGCAGGGGCAGGGGCGGGAGGGGGGGGCAGGGGCAGAGGAGGGGAAGTCAGAGGAGCAGAAAGAGAGAGGGAGCGAGGGAGAGAGACAGACAGAGAGAGAGAGAGAGAGGCAGTGTCATCTTGCGTGAACCAGACAGAACAGGGCAGAGTGGAGGTGGCCAGGGACAGACAGGTGGTGAAGGGGCGTGGCCGCCCCCCTCGCGGTGGCCGGCTGGGTCTGCTTCCTGGCAGGTGGGGTGCTGTGCCCCCCCACCCCCGCCCAGGCAGGCATCCGGGGACCCACCCTTCCCCAGGCCGAATGGCCTCCCCCGGCGGTGGCAGTGGCGCCCTGATCCCCGTGGGCCCCTGGAGGGAGGCACAAGGAGGCCTCCTCAGACCTCCTGGAACTTTGAAGGTGGATGGGTCACGGGTCAGGAGGTTCCCGAGACAGCGCCATACTGTCCCTGTCACCAAGCTTCTCTGCCTCCCGCCACCCGGCCCCGCGGCCTGGCCCTTGTTCCTCCACGGTCACAAAAGCACGTCTGTGTCGGCTCTGCACGCCCACTCCACATGCTAACAAAGCCTTGCATTCTCAGGCTCTGGCCAGCCACGTGGGTCTCCCAGAGCGGATCTAGGAGGGGCGTGGGCTTGGGGGAACCTGGGCAGTCCCCAAGTTTCCTTGGGAGAGGCCGGTGGGTGTTCCTTTGCCCCCTCCTGTCATGCCCCCAGCTAGGAGGAAGAGGCAAAAGGAATGTGTGCGGGCATGCTAAAAGGCTGGGCAACACTGCACATGCGTGTGTGTGTGTGTGTGTGTGTGTGTGTGCGTGTGTATGTGCACATGCATGTCAAACAAGTACATTGCAGGCCAGAGAGACAGCTCAATGGGCTGGGCACAAGTCTTGCAGCTTATAGGAGGCCCAGATGCCGTCTCTGGGATTAGATGGATTCCCCCAAACACTACCAGGAGCCCCCTCCAAGCAGTGAGCTGGGCATAGCCCGAGCACCAGCAGGTGTGGACCCAAAACCAGAAGGAAAGAAAAGATTTTATGCCAGGTCTGCCGGGGTGGCACCTGGGAGGCCCCTCTCTGGGATAGCCCACTGAGAAACACTCCCGAAGTCACGGGGTACAGCGACACAGGAGCTGGGGCTCACCCAGGGTAGCCCTCTATCAGAGCCAGAGATGCTCTCTCAAAGGGACGGATGACGACTTCTGGCCCCAGGACTGTAGGGGAGTTGCGAGCCGCTTCCAAGAGCTGCAATGTGTAATCACCAAGGCCCTTCCTCAGCCTTGGGTGTGCTTTCTAGGGGGTATGCCAGGGTGAGGGTGGGGGCTCGCCCAGGGCTCTTTATTAAAAAAGCATCAGAAGCCACAAACAGAAGCAATCTGGGGATGAAAGGGGCAACGGGCACGGACACAACCATGAGCAGGAAGACCTCAAGGTCAGAGGACACAGAAGACTGGGAATGGGACCACATGCACACGGGGAGCATGAAGTGAGGGAGAGGAGAGACGGTGGGGGGCAGAGCTCAAGTCTCGGGGTCTCTTTTGGAGTTAAGGTGGGCAGGAATGAGCCCAACTCTGGTCAATCTACCTTGCCACTGCCATGAATCCGGACACAATTAAAAACAGTTCCGAACAGGCCACAGTGATAGCACAGTGGTGAGGGCATTTGCCTTGCACGCAGCCAACCCGGGTTCGATCTTCGGCATCCCCTAGGGCACCCCCGAGCACCGCCAGGGGTAATTCCAGAATGCAGTGCCAGGAGTAACCCCTGAGCACCGCTGGGTGTGACCCCAAAATAAACAAAACAAAACAAAACAGGATCAAAAGGGGATGGGAGATGTGGCTCGGCCATGCACCACATGCCTCACGCGCGAGAGGCTCAGGGTTCAACCCCGGGCACTGCAAAACAAAGCACGCACATTCCTGGAGCCAGAGAGCTGGTCTGCGCGCTGTCTGGACAACCCTCTCGGCCAAAGCTGATTGGGTCTGGGTAGACACCTGATCTACAAGCAAACAAGCCCATTGGCCAGCCTGGGACCAATCGGATTCGCTCTCAGGGACAGGTGGTAGCTGATTGGTGCTGGGGTCTGGGCGGGGCCAGGAGACTGGACCCGAGCAGCAGAAAGCAGATACACAGAGACTGAACATCAGGGACAGACGGCACCGGGCCAGCGGGGTCAGAGCTCTGGGTGGAATCACGGGGGTGGGGGGTGATACCAGGGCAAGTTCTCGGCTCCCAACAGCTGCACCCATGGGCACCGCACAGGGTGAGGGATTCTCCGGTGCAAGATAGGCACACCGAGGCCGGAGAAGGGAGGAAGCTGGTGAGGCAAGTCAGAGCTGGCCTCTCCATGGGACAGCTCCCTGGAGTGAGGGAGGAGGGGCAGGAAGGCCACCCCGCAGGTCTAGGCTGGCAGAATGGGGCCAGCCCCACACTTCACACCCAGGTCCCTCACAACCTGCCCCTGGTGGCCAGTCTGACTCTCCCCTGCCCGCCCAGCCCAGCCTGGGCCCCAGAGCCAAGGGAGTGCAAGCTGGGGCCTTGGCATGTTACCTCCAGGTCGCCCTTGGTGATGGACTCCTCCTCCACGCGGAACTGCAGGTCCTCCACCTTCCTGCAGGAGAGACAGGACTAAGGGGGACTGAAGGGACACACATGGGCACCATCCCCAAAGTCGCTCTCGCTCAGGCTCCTGCCAGCGCCCAGTACACGGATGAGGAGACTGAGGCCTGGCACAGGGTCACCGAGACACCCCCCCCACAGACCCTCCCTCAACACGGTCCCCATAAAACCACTTCTTCAAGGTCTGGTGGGGGGGGGTGGCAGGCCGTTGCCATGGGAACCAGATGTGTGGGCCCCTACAACCTGCAGTGCAGATATAAATAAGCTCCCTCTCTCCACTCAGATAGCAACAGCAGCCCTGGGGGTACACGGCGACCTGCTCAGAGCCCAAAGGGGTGAGGGGACGGGACGCTGAGGACGAGGCTGCCTACCGGGAGGGGAGGGAACTGCAGGAATCTGTGGATCAGCCCTGAGAGCTGTCCTGAGACAAGGGCACCCACCACTGTACCATACCCATCTGGCAGGCTGCGGACCCCAGAGCCTGAGCTTTCCCCTCTGTGCACTAATGCTAGGCAGAGAACTGGGGTGCTGCTGCTCTCAGTGGCGCCAAGCCGCGGACATCTGCGGTGAGCTCATGCAGAGAACTCATTGCGAGGGGTCCCCACAGACACGAACTGGTTCACAGTTTGCGCGCGAATTCCCAGCTTGCCCCCCTGACAAGAATACCCCACACCTGGGGCCGGAGCGATAGCACAGCAGGCAGGGTGTTTGCCTTGCATACGGCCGACCGGGATTCAATTCCCAACATCCCATATGGTCCTCCGAGCACCACCAGGGGTAATTCCTGAGTGCAGAGCCAGGAGTAACGCCTCTGCATCACCCGGTGTGACCCAAGAAGCAAAAAAAAAAAAAAATACCCCATACCCCACACCCACCTCGGGCAAGAGAGATAGCCCAATGGGTAGAACATGTAAGAGGCCTGGGCTTTGCCAATGTCCATGCCAGCACTGCACAGCCCCCTGATCACTGAGCCTGAGTGCTGAGCCCAAAGTTATCTCCAGAGCACTGCTGATATGAGCACCTCCCCATGGCACATGAGCACTACACAAACAAGGGCCATATGAAGGAAGACTGTGGCCACCACCAGCTGGGCGCCCTACTCAAGACCCTGTCTCCTGTCTTTTCTCTCTCTCTCTTTTTTTTTTTTTACTTTTTGGGTCACACCTGGAGATGCACAGGGTTTACTCCTGGCTCTGCACTCAGGAATTACCCCTGGCCATGCTCAGAGGACCATATGGGATGCTGGGAATCGAACCAGGGTTGGCTGCGTGCAAGGCAAACGCCCTACCCGCTGTGCTATGGCTCCAGCCCCGAGACCCTGTCTTCTCAAGAGCTCCAGAGAAGGGGGCCAACAGCAAGGATGTAGAGAGCATGGCCGGTCCGGGCTGCAAGGGCAGGGGGCCTCACCTGCGCTCCTCCTCCAGCTGGTTGGACAGGTCCACCTTCTCCTTCCGGACACTCTCCACCAGCAGCCGGGCCCGCTGCAGCTTCTCCTCAGCTTCTGCAACATACTGGGCCCCGGGCAAGGGCAAGGAAAGGGTCAGCTTCTGGACTGTGGGGGAGGCCTGGCTGCGTGCCAGACCGCAGAGGCAGCCCCCACGCACAGGGAACCCCAAGGTCACTTGCCTCCAGGCCCCAGCACCCCAGTCCTGGCACCTCCCTTTGACTCGGTCTCTCAAAGGCCCTTGTCCAACACCCAAGGGAGGGACAAGACAATCCCTGATCATGGGTAAGTAATTCGTCTTTCACACAGCTGATCCCTGGCATCCCAGAGTCCCCTGAGCACCATCAGGAGTAATTCCTGAGTGCAGAGCCAGGAGTAAGCCTTGAGCATTGCCGGGTGTGCCCCCAAACCTCCCTGCACCCCCAAAGTAAGAGATGAGTGGACAGACTGGAGGCTGGGGAGAGGGCTGCTTCCGTGCACCCGGCCCAAGAGTGCTCCAGAAAGCTCCGGAAAGCTGGGGTGTAGCCATGGCTGTGCATATGAGCTGTCTCATAGCAGCTCTGCGCAGAACTGGGGAGCAACAGGAAAAGCTGCGCGCACAGCACCCCCTGCCTGGGAACTGGGGGCAGCTCCGCGAGAATTTCCCACGACCTAAAACAGGTTTCGTGAGAAGCCCCAGGGTGGCAGGGTCCTGTCCAGCGCCGGGAGTCCACAGATGTGGGCACGAAAAGGACACGTGCGGGGTCCTGGTGGAGACGCCCCCCACTCTACCCGTCCGGCTCTACCCTGGGGCTCCCGCCCCACCTGCTCGTGTTGCGCCTTGAGCAGCGCGATCTCCTTCTCCACCTCGCAGATGTGGCTCGTGGCCTTGGCCACCTCGGCCCGCTCCAGGTCCCGCTCGGCCAGCAGCTGCTCGATGTGCTGCTGCTTCTCCTTCAGCGCCTCCTGCAGGGCGGTGGTGCCCGAGATCTTGCGGGCGTAGCGCGAGGACGTCTCGGTGAGCTGCGGGGTGAGGCGGGGTCAGGAGGGAGGGGTGGAGCCCGGAGGGCGGGGTCAGGGGAGGGCGGGCCCGGAATAGGGGGGGCCAGGAGGGAGGGGGCGGAGTCAGGATGAGGGGCGGGGCCAGCAGGAGGGCGGGGCCAGGGTGAGGGGCGGGGCCGGGAGGGCGGGGCCAGGAGCTGTCCGGGAGGAGGGTGACTCAGGAGGGGGAGGGCATGGGGAGGGGCGGGGCGGGCTCAGGAGGGAGAGGGAAAGGGGGAGGGGTGGGTTTGTGGGAGGGGTGGGGATCAGGAGGGGGAGGGGCGTGAATAGGAGGGGGGAGGGAACCAGGAGCGGGAGGGGCTGGGACTCAGGAGCCTCAGCCTGGCACCGACAGGACCACGTGCCTGTCCTTCCCGCCAGCGCCCAGCGGCTGGTCACGGGTATGAGGATGGCGCACTCCTGATGGCACTGCCGGGAAGCCAAGTCCTGGCCTGGGGGTGCCTTTACCCGGGCTTGAACCGGGTGCGTGCAGGAAGGGGGCGGCCTGCAGGGTCCCACAGCATCGCCTTCCTGCACCTCCTGTCCTGCCCTGCCACACCTGTAGAGCCCTGCGTGTGCAGGATCTTCCCGTCCCGTGTGACCTCCTTGTCACTGTAAAGGATATGCCCAGCCCCTGACCAATCAGCTCTCCACACAGAACCCAGGGTGGGTGGGCAGCAAGTCCAGGTGTCCCAGCCCCCTTCGCCCCCTGCCCGCCTTACCAGGCCACTGCGGCTTGGCCGGCCCCCCACGGAGGAGGCCACGGAGCTGACGGAGCTGATGGAGGAGCTGCTGGGGCTGTGGGTCAGCGCCGAGACCCCCATGGCCATGCGCTTGCTCTTCTTGCCCTTCGCAGGGCTGGTGGACGGGAAGCCGATGCGGATCACCTTGTGGATGGGCGCGAAGAGCCCGAACTTGGGGGGGCACTGGAAGTACCTGGGGGGGAGCACCCACTGAAGACACGGCCCCCTGCCATACTCCCCCTCCTTACCACACCCGGCAGAGAGAGGACCCCACAGGGCCAGGGCCTGAGACTCTTGCCGTTGGGGCCGTAAGGGGGGATGGAGGAGTGACCACCGCAGTCCACTCTGTCAATCCCTCCTAGGGACACTCAGTCCAGTCTCAGGCTCCGAGAGGGTCAGTAATGACCGTGAACCCCGCAGGCTGATCCTGTCCCTCTGCCCAGCTGCTCCTCACGGTGAACCCGACTGCCCACAAGGCCCAGCTGTGCCCAGCCATCTCAGCAGCATTGCGTTCACTCCCCAGAGGCACCTGCAGGTTCCCAGGCCCCCAGCCAGCTCAGCCCGGCAGCTGACCTCTCCCATCAGAGATGCCCAGTACCGGTGACCTCTTCCCCAGGTCTCTGGGGTCTGAGCGGGCCCCGCTCCAGGGCCCTTGCCCGCCCGGCGCTGGCCCACATTCCGCGGGCAGAAGCCCCTGTACCTGGTGCCCGCCACGGCCCCGTCGTTCTTCCCGAGGGGCTCGTCCAGCTCCACGCCACACCACTCGCCTTTGGCGAAGTCTGTCTCGCCCACATACCGCACCACGCCGGTCTTGGTGCCGCCGACCTGCAGGAACACAGAGCACGGGCTGGGGGGGACCCTGGGTGCAGGGGTGTCAGCGGCGATGAGCCTGCTGTCCATCCCGCCCTGTGACGGGGGCCGGAGAGACGGTACCCTCATGGACCCCCTCAAGCATCTCTGGGGGCAGCCCTGCAGAACCCCAACACCATGGGGGTGACCCAGGGGGTCCCCAGCCCTGAGGCAAGCACCCTCCCTCATGAAACAAACGCTGTGCAAGTGCACATGTGTTTCCTAACCTCTCAGCTTCCACATTCCCATCTGCAGAACGACAGGGGCTGGGGTTTCTACCTGGCCCCATGGGCAGCTGCGGCCATGCTGGGGGCTCCGAGAGGCCTGTTGCAGGCCACGCGCATGCTCCTTTGTGAGCCCTCTGCTTAAAAAGGGTGTGTGTCTGTGTGTGTGTGTCTGTGTGTGTGTGATGTGTATGCAGTGTGCATGTGTGTACGTGTGTATGCATGTGTGTACGTGTGTGTGTGTGTGTGTGTGTGTGTTATGCACTGCAGGTGCATGTACCGGGCACATCTGAGAGTCTCCATGCGTGTTCTCCTCACCAGCGCTTTCAGGGTCCGAGAGGCAGCTCAGACCGGGAGCACGGGCCCAGGTGGAGCTGTGCGTTCACACCTCTGAGTCACAGGACCCACAAACACTGCTGGGGGGGTCCCCCGAGCCTGGGCCCTGAGCAGCAGGCTGAGAGCTGCAAGTGGCCTCAGGACAATGAAGTGGTTGGCCTGGTGGGTGCCCAGGGCTGAGGGAGGCGGGGACAGAGTTTCAGCACTGCAAGCGAAAGGATGCATAGAAACACTACTGAGGGGCTGGAGCAAGAGCACAGCGGGGAGGGTGTTGGCCTTGTATGCGGCCGAACAGGGTTCGATTCCCAGCATCCCATATGGTCCCCCGAGCACCACCAGGAGTGATTCCTGAGTGCAGAGCCAGGAGGAACCCCTGAGCATCGCTGGGTGTGACCCAAAAAGCCCCCCCAAAACAAAACAAAACAAAAACAAAAACAAACACTACTGAGAAAGCATTACCATGAAAACACTGAGGGGCCAGAGACAGTACAAGGCGTAAGACTCGCCATCGCTGACCTGGTTCAATCCCCAGCACCCCACAGGGTCCCGTTTCCAAACCCCCCCCCCCCCCCCATTGCTTGCATGTCAAGTCAGCCCTGAGCACTACCAGGAGTGATCCCTGATCCCTGAGCACAGAGCCAGGAGTAATCCCCGAACATTGCACAGGCGGAAGCCCCAAGGCCCATCCCCAGCACCACGGGGACCCTGGCACCGCCAGGTGTGGCCCCCAAGCCCAAACCCTGTGATTTTATTATTTTTATTTTAATATTTATTTCTGATTTTTGAGCCACACCCGGCGGTGCTTGGGCCTTACTCTTGGCTCTGTGCTCAGGGACCACTCCTGGTGGGACTCAGGGGACTGTATGGGACGCCGGGGATCAATCCTGACTTAGCCACATGCAAAGCAAGTGCCCTCCCCGCGGTGCTATCACTCTGGCCCCCTTAAAATTAATACTTTAAAAAGAATATTTAACTCAGTGGTCTTTTACTATACCTGAATCTGTCCCCAAATCTATCTCCGGAATGTTTCATATCTGGGAATAACCTTTTGTCCCCACATCACACTATCCTGTATCTCTGCCACCCCCGCCCCAACCCCCGTCCCCACCGCCCCCGTTTGCTTGTTTTTCTGCCTGACTGACCTTCTCTAGTTTCTTTTTTTTTGGGGGGGGGTCACACCTGGCGATGCTCAGGGGTTATTCCTGGCTATTCACTCAGGAATCATTCCTGGCGGTGCCCAGGGGACCATATGGGATGCTGGGATTCGAACCCGGGTCGGCCGCGTGCAAGGCAAGCGCCCTCCCCGCTGTGCTGTCGCTCCAGTCCCAACCTTCTCTCATTTCTCAGAGGACTTATTAGTCGCCCCAGAGAACCTTCTGGTACTTTCCACCAGGGTGGGGTGGCCGGGGTCTGGGAAGCAAGTGAGGAAGGAGCACAGGAGCTGGGGGCTGAGTCTTTGGAGAGAAACCCTCAATGAACTGCCCTCTCCAGTCTGGCCTGCCGGGGTCTCACCCAGAGACCCTCTGATGCTCGCAGGACAGGCACGTCCGTTCCGCCCATCTGCTGGGGGACAGTCCTGGCACGGACCCAGAGAGGGACACGAGGGTGAAGATACCCCGTCCCCCATCCCTCCTGGTGCTCCCACCATTCCTGATGCCGTCAGCTCCAGTTCTCATGGCTCTCCGGGGGTCCTGGGATCCTGGGAGGGCCCCGGGCCTCATCTGTAAATTCCCTCCTTCCCACCAACGCTTCTGACACTACAGAAATATTTTTCTCTGTTTTGAGTCAAACCCAGCGGTGCTCAGGGCTGACCCCTGGCTCTGCACTCAGGGATCACCCCTGGCAGTCCTCGGGGGCCCCTATGGGATGCCGGAGATCGAACCCGGTTCAGCCGCGTGCAAGGCCAGCGCCCTCCCCTCTGACCCGTGGCCGGATTCCTGCGGCTCCTGTCTGTTCTGTCCTCTGGCGTTTCCGAGCGTGTTCAAAATCCCTAATTAAAACCCGCCCCACTGCTGCTGAGCGCCGGGCACACCGGATTCCTATTTCCTTTCTCGGTTTTGGTTTTTGGGTCATACCCAGCAGTGCTGGGTCAGGTGGGGGTGCAGCTCTGGGGGGCTGTGGTGCAGAGCACAGGCACGAGGCGGTCCTTCACACAGCTCCCCGCACGACCCAGAGGACAGTCCCGGCCCCAAGGTGGCAGTGCCCCCCGGGACCTGACAAGGACCCAGGGGTTCACCGGTGAAACCACTTGGTCCTCCTTTTTTTGTTTTTTGCTTTTTTGGGTCACACCCGGTGATCACAGGAGTTACTCCTGGTTCCTGCACTCAGGAATCACTCCTGGCGGTGCTCGGGGGGACCATATGGGATGCTGGGAATCGAACCCAGGTTGGCCACATGCAAGGCAAACACCCTACCCACTGTGCTATCGCTCCAGCCCCGGTCCCTTTTTTCTTGACTTCCAACTCGTGCCAGCTGGGTTCGAGCACCAGGCCCTCCTGGGTCCCTGGCACCAGGTGGGGGGCACCCACAGCTGTTCACAGCCCTGGAGGTGCAGTCCCGCCCCCCAGAACCTTTCCCCTCCACAGCACCCGGAGACAAAAGGGCTGCAGCGGAAACACAGGGTCCCAAGGGCGTCGGACCCGCCCACCCGAGCCTTCAACCAGGCATGAGGTCTGTCCTTTTTCTGTTTTATCTTTTCATCTAAAAATCAATAGGCGGGGCTGGGAGATCACACACGGCCATCCTGCCGGCTCTACGCCCGGACCAGGTCTGGTTCTGGTACCACACGGTCCTCTGAGCTTGCCCTCGGCCACTCCAGGGAGCGAGGGCCCAGGCCGGACACCCCCGGGCCCTGCTCGCAAGCCCAGACCGTGGGAACGAGCAGAGGCAACACCGGGTCATCCTGGTTCCCCCAAAGTGCCCAGTGCACAGCTCTGCAAAGGGAGGCTAGGGACAGGATGGTTGGGGCTAGTCTCTGCTGGTGCCCCCCAGCCAGCAGGGCAAGAGATGAGAGGGGGGTCAGCAGAGCCAGGACAGGGAGGGGTCAGAGACTCCTCCCCAGGAAACTGAAATGGGGGCTTGGGGAGGGGACAGCACCCGCCTGGCCCGGTGGTAGGGACCCAGAGACACGGTCCAGGCAGAGTTGAGCTCGGGGCCTGCTGGATCCCCCAGAAACAGGATTTGAAAGGAAAACCGAGGGAACGGGGTGACAGTACAACATGCCCGGCTGGGTTTGATTCCCCAGCATCCCATAGGAATCTCCGAGACTGCCAGGAGTGATCCCTGAGTGCAGAGCCAGGAGCTGGCCCTGAGCACTGTTGGGTGTGGCTCTGCCCCCCCGCAAATAAAATCAAAGGGAAAGTTAGAGCCCCTCATGCCTGCCCCGTGCCCACCAGTGCCCTGGGCCCAGCCATCTCCTGCTCCTGCAGATACGAAGGGGGTCTAGGCAGGCCCACAGTGGGGTGGACCCCCCTGCTCCTCCCCACCACCCCCAGCCATGGTCAGGGCTGGTGAGTCACCCCTGGGTTCTCCACCTCCTCGATGATGGCCACCCGGCTCCCAGACACTCACAAGCCCCACCCCCCCAGGCTGGCACGCCCAGAGTCCGGGCAGTGACAAAGCACCTTTGTGTCTGCCTGCCCGGTGCCCAATAGAGTGGCCCCTCCCGGGTGGCCCGAGGGAGGAGGGAATGAATGAATGCATGAATAAATGAATGGGGAATGAATGACGGGATGGGCCCAGCTCGCTAAGGGATCCCCCCAGCATCACAGCAGAAAGGACACGAGCCTGGATTTCCCTGCAGTGGCCACACAGTGGCCTCGGGCACAGCCCAGTGCGGCCCAGAGAGTGGGGTGGTGACCTCTGCGGGAACTGCTGGGGGGGCGAGGGGGTGGGCCGTCCCTGAGCCCAGTGCTGTGGCTTTGTGCCACTGAACCAGCTTCCTGTAGGGTGGCCCGCTCCTCCGGGCATGTGGCCACAGCAACCCTGGGGGGGGGGGGGTTGCTGGCAGGGAGGTAAGGGTCCATTCTATCCCCACCCAGTGGCACAGAATTGGCTTCAAGGGGAATCTTCTTCAGTTGCATAAAGCCTTCCACCACAATGCCCAGCCACAATGCCTCTATGCCGTCTCCCGCTTCTCTGCCACTTGCTCCCGCCCAACCTGGACACAGGCACGCCCCCACCCACTGACCTGAGCACAGGGTAACCCCAAGCAGGGCCAGGCCTGGGGTCTGCACCCCGACTGGGCCGCCGCTGTCAGGGGGGGTGGCCGTGGGCCTGGCAGCAAGCCCCATGCAGGGCTGCTACTAGGATTTTTTGCTTTTCCTGGCAGTGCTTGGGCTGGAGTGATAGCACAGTGGTAAGGCATTTCCCTTGCACACTGCTGGCCTGGCCAAGCTGGGTTCGATTCCTCTGCCCCTCTCGGAGAACCCGGCAAGCTACCAAGGGTATCTCGCCTGCACGGCAGAGCCTGGCAAGCTCCCTGTGACGTATTCGATATGCCAGACACAGTAACAACAAAGTCTCCAATGGAGACGTTACTGGGCCCGCTCGAGCAAATCGATGAACAACGGGAGGACAGTGCTACAGTGGCGGTATTTGGGGGGGGGGGGACCATATGGGATGCTGGGAATCGAACCCGGGTTGGTTGCGTGCAAGGCAAACGCCCTCCCCGCTGTACTACCGCGCTCCGGCCCCTAAAGTGCTCCTTTTTAAACAGAACAATTAAGGCTCAGAGAGCCTCAGGGTCCAACAGCAGGAAGTCCAGAACCCCCTTGCCCACCCCCCGGGACGCTGGGGTCCTGCTGCGGGCGGGCGCATGGACACTCACCAGCACGCGGTCCCCCAGGCGCAGGTCCTTGTCTCCGCGTTTCACCGAGCCGCTGTCCGACAGGTTGGAGCCCGACTCGTTGCCCGTCTTGCCCGCGCTGCCCAGCACGCTGTCCCGCAGCGGGAGGACGCGGCCGCCGGGTGGCGGCGTGGCGGTCCCCGCGTGCAGGGACAGGTTCTGCGCCGTGAGCGACTCCACCGAGTGGCCGTCGCTGCCTGAGCCCTCAGCCGCCGGCTGGCGCGTGAGCTTGGACGGCCGCGTGAAGATGCCGCGCAGCGCCGGGCACTCGAAGTAGCGCACGCCGCCCACCGCGCCGTCGTTCTTGCCCACCGGCTCGTCCAGCACCACGCCCGCCCACTGGCCCGGCGCGAACTGCGTCTCGCCCAGGTACTGCACCACGCCGGGCTTCACGCCGTTCACCCACACGCGCTCGCCCACCTCCAGGTCCCCCAGCGACTCATCGCCCACCTCGGCCGCCTTGGGGCCCGGCCTCTCGGGGGTGGGGCCGGTGGCCGCGGGGCCCAGGCCGGGGGCCTGCTTGTGCAGCGGGGAGCCTGTGAGGAGAGAAAGGGGGACAGTGGTCAGGGTGGGTCCTGCTCCGGGGGGAGGGGCTCCCCTCCCCACTCCTCCCCCAGGGCCCCAGAGTGCACTGGGGGGTCACTGAGCGAGCCCCCAGGAAACCTCTTTGCCCCCAGGATGCAGGTTCAATCCTCAGCTGTTGGCCAGAGACCCGGGTGGGGCTCAGATCCTGGGGAGGTCTCTGTGCCCGCCACAACCCTCCTCCGCTACCTCTGGACCCCACAGAGGGCCCCCAGCCTCGTCCCTCACGGCTGCTCCCAGCCAGACACCCCGGCACAACCTCTTCGTCTCTTTTTGCTTTTGTTTTGGGGCCACACTCGGCGCTGCTCAGGGCTGACTCCTGGCTCTGAGCTCAGGGGTCACTCCTGGAAGTGCTCAGGGTCCCTGTGGGGTGCCGGGGATCGAACCCGGGTAGACTGCATGCAAGGCCAGCATCCTCCCCGCAGTGCAATCGCGCTGACCCAGAGCACCCTGGTCACAGCACCCACTCTGAGCAGGAAAGGGGGGATTCCCAGCAGAGAAATGACCCGAGGGCCCCTGCTCCAGGCCCCGAGGCTCAGAGAGGTCAGGCCTGTGTCCCAGGCCACACAGCAGAGCCAGGAGCCTGCGAGGGGTCAGCAGGTTACATGGGGCCATTCACAAAAGGATGAAGGGGCCGAGCCGAGAGCAGCCGCCTCCCAGGAGCGAGACCCTGAGTCCCATCCCCGGCTCAGCAGGCGTGGGCTCCTGTGGTCAGGCCCCACCAGGACCCGGCGTGCCCAAGCCCAAGTCTCAGTGTCCCCATACTGTCCGTGGGAGGCCTGGGGGCTGTGCTCAGCTCGGCAGGCAGGAACCAGCCAGGCACTGGGGGCTCGGGTGTCCCCTGAATGGGGGCCTGAGAGCTTTTCTCCACCAAGATGCCACCGGGCATAGCCCCCAGACCTGCCCTAGGCCCGGGCTGGGGACACACATTGGCACGGCTCGCGTGGAGGCCTGACGAGCTCCAACTCCGGGACTACACTCAGGGCGTGCAGGCAGGCGGGCCCAGGTCAACCCCCAGCACCACGTGGTCCTCTGAGCGCCAGGCCTGGCCCTGCTGGACCTGGAGTCCTGCACGCCTCCATCACAGCCAGGTCACCCACACTGCCTGCCTGCTCCGCCCCCGCCCTGCAGGGTAGGAGACAGCCACCCCAGCAGGAGGGGACCCCAAACGCAAGGCAGGCTCCAGCAGCATCTGTCCCGAGGCCCTGTGAGGACTTTCCTGTACCCGAGGTTTCAGGATAACTGCAGTGCCGGGTGACATTTGTCCCTCCCTGTCCACCGTCCCTGTCCCTCCCTATCCCCCCATCCTCTCCATCCCCCATTCCACCCGCCCCTACCTGTCTTTGGCTGACAGCACCAGGGGACCCCGGGGGCTATTACTGGCAAGAAGCTGCCCCTCAGCTGTCCCCTCGCCAGCTGCCCGCCAGGTCATCTCCCGGCTTCCATCCCCACCCCTGGGTCCCAAGCCCGGGCCAGCTGTTTCAACAGCTGCAAGGCCAGGTTGTGGCTATGTTGTGCACTCCCTCCTGGGGCCCGGGACTACCCGGCTCAGACCCCCGACTCCCGCTCGGAAACCCCCGAGACCTCTCCCTCCAGGGCTCTCCTCCAGGAGAGGAGACAGCAGCTGAGCTGCCTGGGCCGGAAGCTTCCTGGAAGCCCTGCCTCCCCCATCCCCGGGACAGTCTCCACCGGCCTCCTCTCTGTCTGCCTGGGTGAGGCCACAGTCTGTCACTGGGTGCCCGCAACGCTGTTCGCCTCCAGTGGCCAACACAGATGAGGACAGACCTCCCCAACAGTTTCTTGGTGCTATGCTGGGACCCAGCCGCCCCGAGGACCCCTCGCAGTGGCTGCGACACCATCTGCAGCATCTGGCAACTTCCATGGTGACGCTTCCAGCCCCCCTCAAGGGGCCACTGTCCAGGTCCAGGGGGAGGTGATGAATAACCACCAAGACTGGGTCCCTTCATGTGCCTGGTGCCAGCGGTCACTATTTCACCGGAGGGCACAGAAGTGTGGCCGAGAATTGTTCCAGGAGCCCCAAGCATGGCTCTGGGGACAACTCTGCCCCTACAATCATCTTGTGGCACATGCAGGTGCCTTTTACCATCGGTGACGGCTGTGTCTCAGGGTTCAAATCTGGCTGACAGAATCCCACACACTTGGGGCTGGAGCGAGAGCGAGAGCACAGCGGGGAGGGCGTTGGCCTTGTATGCGGCCGACCCGGGTTCGATTCCCAGCATCCCATATGGTCCCCTGAGCACCACCAGGAGTAACTCTTGAGTGCAGAGCCAGGAGTCATAACCCCTGAGCATCGCTGGGTGTGACCCAAAAAGCAAAAACAAACAAAAAAAACAAACAAAAAAAACCACCACAAAAACAGTATTTGGTTTACGGATCTACTTAGCTCGGGGGCCACACCTGGCAGTGCTCAGGGGTCACTCATGACACTGAGCTCAGAGATCATGGCAGGGTTTGGGGGAGCAGATGGGGTGCCGGGGAACTGAAGCCCGGCCGGTTGCATGCAAAGCCAGTGTTTTCCTTGCTTGCGATCTCCGGCCCATCTCCCTCGAAAGCGATTTAAAAAGGGAAAAAGGAGCAGCTGTGGAATCAGGGCTCAGCCCTCAGTTTCCTCAGCTGCCTGCGAGCCTCGGTTCCTGCCGTGTGGGTGCTCTGTGGGAAAACAGGGTAGGGCAGGGAGCAGAGGGATGGGGTGACGGGACATGATGGCACTCACTGACACCAGAGACAGAACAGCAGATAAGGCGCTTACCCTGCAAGCAGTCCTCCCGTCTGAGCCCCCGACACCACGAATGGTCCCCCCAGTCCCACAGAGCTAGAAGTAATCCCCGAACATAGCCTTGGCGTGACCCGAACAGGAAAATGCATTAAAAAATAATAATAAAGCAACACAAATATTGGGAGGCTATCCAGCCTACTGAGATGCTGGTTCAACCCCTGGCCCTGAGCACCCCCGGGTGTGACCCCAGAACAAACACCAAAGGGCTGGAACCCAAGTTTGGTTCTGGACCTCACGTTGCCCCACAAGCATCTGGTACGGGCCAAGCGCTCAGTCATGTGGCCAGCTTAGCCCAGGTCCCTGAGCACTGCTCAGGAGAGTCCCCTGAAACAGGCAGACTGAGAGGAGCTTTGCAGGGTCCACGAGACGGAGGCAGGGACAGAGCCAGTGGCCAGGGCCACCTGCTGTCCAGACTAGGGCGGAACTGAGCCCTGACTCGGCCGCAAGATTGACCGCCAGGGCTCCCGGGAGTCCACTGAGCTCAGGCCTCCCAGTGCTGTGCTGTTCCCTGGCCGGCCCTTGGAAGGTGGGAGCTGTGACTTCTAGACTCGCCATGGGAAGGTGGGCCCATGTGAGGACAGGGCCCCCCACCCAGCTCCCCAAGCTCCTTTCCTCCTGGTCCACGCACACAGTCAGGATGCCTACATGAGCCCAGTACATAGGGGGGCCCCTGAACCCCTAAGCCCATCCTCCCCAGTGCTCTGGGAGGGCTGTGGGGGCGCCCAGAGCACTCGGGGCCCCACCTCAGCCTTTCTGACAGTGCCTGGCACACACCACAACCCCCGGGAAGCTCACGTGCCCCCCACTCAGATCACCCTGACTGCAGAGGGGCCCCATGCGTGGGTGTCCAACCAGCCATTCCAGGCCCCCGTTTCAACCACCAGGCCCCCGTTTCCCCCACCCCCGTCTTCTCCCAAAGCAAAAAGGACCCAACCGAGAAGGGTGCCCCCCCATTCCTACCTCTCCCCCCGAGCCCTGACCCCACATTCCCGGGGGCTGGGGAGCGGGAAAGGAGGAGCAGGCGCCGGGGCTTACCCTGGAGCGAGCAGAGCCAGCTCCCCATGGAGACGGTGCCACTTGGGGTGGGCCGAGCACCAGGCCGGCGCAGGGAGCAATCGATTGGCTGCCAACGTCAGGGGCTGCATCAGGCAGCGGGACCCGCCCCCCGCGGGAAGCTCCGCTCCCCCCACGCCCAGGCCATTAGGGAGTGGAGGATGTGGTCAGGGGCGGCGGCGGAGGCTGACCTTGAAGGAGCGGGCACTGCAGGGGCGAGGGGCTGGGCCGGCTCAGCCAGGCAGGGCACAGGTTCTGGGAAAAGCCCCTCAAAAAGTGGGGAGCCCCCGCCCCAAAGCCCAGGAGCAGAGAAGCACCAGAGTCAAACCACACCACAGAGCTGAGGTGCAGCAGGGCCGCTGGCCGGGACGTCAGCTGTTCCTGGCTGGCCCCCACCTTAGCACACTCTGGGGTGCAGGGAACAATGCTCGAAGCTCAGGGGTCCAGGACGGAAGGACTGGGGGTGGGGGGGACCGCAGAGACAGCGCAGAGGTGTCTTGAGAGCAAATGACCTGGGTTCAATCCCCGGCACCTTAAATGGTCCCCACTGAGCCTTGCCAGGAGTGAGCCCTGAGCACAACCAGGTGGGACCCCCAAAACCTTAAAGAATTAAATGAAAATAAAGTGTTCCGGCTGTGGGGCCGGAGCAATAGCACAGCGGGTAGGGCGTTTGCCTTGCACGCGGCCGACCCGGGTTCGATTCCCAGCATCCCATATGGTCCTGAGTACCGCCAGGAGTAATTCCTGAGTGCAGAGCCAGGAGGAACCCCTGTGCATCGCCGGGTGTGACCCAAAAATAAAAAAAAAGAGGGGGCCGGAGAGATAGCACAGTGGGTAGGGTGTTTGCTTTGCATGCAGCTGACCCGGGTTCAATCCCTGGTATCCCATACGGTCCCCCAAGCACTGCCAGGAGTAATTCCTGAGTGCAAAGCCAGGAGTAACCCCTGAGCATTGCTGGGTGTGACCCAAAAAGAAAAAAAAAAGAGTTCTGGCTGGACTGCGTGGGCCCCAGGAAGGCACAACACAGGGGACCCTTAGCAAGTGGGCCCCTGCCCCAGCCGGCATCTGCGAGTTCAAGGGTCCCTGGCCACAGGAGAGCCGGGGCCCCAAGGATGGCTCATCACCCCCACCAGCGTGCAGGACGGGGCTGAGTGGGGACCCCAACTCCCACGCGGGGGACAGGACAGACGGATGAGGACATGGCGGCGTCAGACCACTTGTGGCCCCCAAACTCTGGGGAGCTCTGCTGAGCTCTGGGCCTTCGCTCGCTCATCTCGAACACGGGGTGCAGGGCTGACGATGAGGGGGCTGGCGGACACTGCCGCTGAGCCCCCGTCTCCAGCACTGTCCCTCCTGGCTGGGCCATCGAGGTGGGCCACAGAGCGAAGACGGCCTGGCCACCACTTGGGGGAGCAGGAGGGTGAGAACAGCGGGGACCCGGGCTCAGTCCTGCACCCGGCAGCCCCACATCTTCCCCACCACCCACCGCTCCGGGGTGGTCTGGCTGTGTTTGAGCCCAGCAGGGCAGAGGGACCCCTCCCCCAGAGACTCCCCCAACAGTGCCTGGGTGGGGGCGGGGGACGCCGGGGCCGGAACTCGGGGCCTTGGACAGGCCAGGGCCCCCCACATCCTGCCTGCACCCCAGCGAGCCCAGGCGGCATGGACCCTGCCAGAGGCTCCGGGCGCTCCAGACACCATGGCCGCACCCCTGCAGTGGAGGCCCGAAGCCTGTCTCTGGAGCAGTTCCAGCACCCCAGGCCCTCGGCCTGTCTGGGTCAGGGGTTCCCGGCACCCTCCCGGCACCGGCTGTGCAGAACCTCCTGTCCCCAGGGACAGAAGCAGCCCACAGACCACAGTGAGACCCCAGACCACCTCCTGGGGTGAGACCTGAGTCCCTGAGCACCCCCTTCCTGCCTGCTGTTCTGTGTCCCAGCTCTGGAGCAGACAAAGCCGCCCATGTCCCTGGAGGCGGGGGTGGGGGTGGGGGTGATGGTGGTGGCAGTGGCCTCTGTCCAGCCCGGCCGGCACAGACCCTCTGCCAGGGCTGAGCTCATGTTTGGGCCGCGGCCACCATCCGGGCGCCGAGCACAGACCCCAACGTGCCCCGGCACCCCAGCAGGGAGCCCCTCCCCACCCAGACACGAGCCCCCAACCCCCCCGGGGCAGGAACAGAGCAAGTGGGGCACAGAGCTTCTCCCTGTTGGGGCTCCTGGCCTCAGCCAGCAGCTCCACATGTTGTCCCCTCCCCCTCCCCAGCCCTTCCCCGGGAGAGCGTGGGATGGCGGGTTCAGAGGGGGCCGGAGGAGGGATGCGGGCACAGCTGCAGCCACAGACACAGACGTTGTCCAGAGTCCGGCAGGCAGGAGCTCCTCAATCCCCCCAATCCGGGACAGCCCCACCCGCCCTCGGGCACCCCCACACGCCACAGGGCTGGAACCCAGCAGCGGCGCGGGCCCCCTGCCTGCCAGGACGCCTATGGCCCTCAGAGTGACCAGCCAGCTCAGGGAGGCAGTGAGGAGCTGGCTGCAGGGGTGGGGGCCGGGCAGCGTGCAGGCAGAGGATGGCCCGGAAGGTCACGTGGGGGGGAGGGGACAGGAGTCCTTCCTACTCACGGGACCATAAGGAAGGTTTATCCTGCTGGGGCCTTGATCCAGTAGAGAAGACAGTCAGGGCCAGGCCTTTCTCTGGCCAGTAGTCCCAAACCCACTCCCCAGTATCCCCCCCAGGCTCATGCTCCACCCACCCAGGTCCCTTACCCAGGTTTTGCCTCCACTGCCTGCAAGGTCCTACCCCTTCCCCTCCAGACTCATGCTGTCTCCTCCAGAAAGTCTTCCCTGACTACCTGCTCATGGGGGGAGCGGGGGGGGGGGGCGCAGTGGGCAGGGGGGAGGGCCTAAACCATCCCACAGTGTGGATGGTGAGTGTGGACACCCTTGTCCAGGGGCACTTGCTTCCTTATGCCTCCCCACCCATTCCCCCAGTGCCCAAGGGATGGGAACAAGTTCCCTGCCCCCAACAGACAGGCACAGAGCCCAGGCCTCCGCCCCATCCTCTCGGACCCCACTTCCCTGCTGCCTGTGCTTAGAGCTCACTCCTGCTTTAGGGCCCCAGGGCCCATGCTGCCTCTCCCACTCCCTCTCTTGGGGTTCCCCCTCACTGCCCAGAAACGCTCCTCCTGGGCATCTGCCAGCCTTGGCGGGGGTGGGGGGGTCCACCCAGACAGGCCCCGAAGCTTCCTCACCCTTTCCTGCTGTGCCGGGCTGTGTCAGGCTGTGTAGGACCCAGGTTCTGCCAACCACCCGGGCCCTGGGCTCCCCCCCAACCCCTTCCCTGAACCCACCCGGCGGGGCAGGGGGAGGGGTGTTGGTGAGTTGGCTTCAGGCCCTTCCTATTGTTTCGCTTTGTGGGAGGCTGGTGTCTCCCAAGCAGTGCTGGGTGGAAGCTGGAGTCTGGTCCCTAGCAAGCTCAGACTCCAGAACAGGGACCGGATTTCTCACCCCAGAGTGGAGCCAACTCCCGGTCCTTGAGGCGGGGAGGGGGCCATCCTGAGAGAGGCAAACAGGCGGCACTGCTGCCTGGGGCCTGCTGTAACTGGTACTGATCAAAACACACTCAAGGGGCCTAAGCAATCGCACAGCAGGGCTCTTGCCTCGTGTTCTGCAGGCCCGGGTTCAATCCCCAGCATCTCATAGCCCCCCGCCCTGCCCACACACAGCACCACCAGGTGTGATCCCTGAGCACTGAACCAGGAGTAAACTCTGAGCACTGCAGGGAGTGGCCCCATGAGACGAAAGCCCCGGGCCAGGAGTCCTGGCTAGGGGAGCTTGGGGAGGCAGCAACACCCCCACATCCCCTCAATTCCTTTTAGCCAGGATAGCTGCCCCGCCCTGCCCCAAAGCCCCGCCCCCACCGATGACCCCGCCCCCACCAGAGTCACCCCAGCCCCGAAGCCCACCCCTGAAGCCCCGCCCCGCTGTCATTCCACCTCAAGTCATGCCTCCACCAGAAGCCCCGCCCCTTGAAGCCCCGCCTCCATCGGGAGCCCTTCCTCAGAAACCCCGCCTCCATTGGCCCCAGGAAACCCAGAAGCCCCGCCTCTGTCAGGTGCCCCGCCCCAGAAGCCCCGCCTCCATCGGCCCCAGGGACTCCAGAAGCCCCGCCTCTGTCAGTTGCCCCGCCCTAGAAGCCCCGCCTCATTGGCCCTCAGGAACCCAGAAGCCCCGCCTCCATCAGGGCCCTTCCCCAGAAACCCCGCCTCCATTGGCCCCAGGGAATCCAGAAGCCCCGCCTCTGTCAGTTGCCCCGCCCTAGAAGCCCCGCCTCATTGGCCCCAGGAACCCAGAAGTCCCGCCTTTGTCAGGTGCCCCGCCACAGAAGCCCCACCTCTGTCAGTCACCCCCAGAAGCCCCGCCCTGGAAGTCCCGCCTCCACCGGCGGCCCCGCCCCACGCACCTTCCTTGGAGCCGGAGGCCGTGGCCGTGGCCGAGGCTGACCCAGTGGACGTCCGCCCTACCGGGCTCGAGTGCTTCCCGCCACGGCCCGGGGGCTTGAGGCCACTGGGCTTCTGCATGGTGGAGCCACACGCTGGGTGGACAGGGGTCCAGCAGGTCACGTCCTCCCTGACATTGTCACTCACCTGCAGAGAGAGAACGGGAGCGGCTGTGAGCGGGACCCCAGCGTCCAGGCGATCCCCCAACACGTACCGCGGGGAGGCAGGTGCTGCGCGAGTCAGAACCAGCAGGTCCTGGGTCTGCACAGCCGTGGGCTCGGGCCAGGTGGTACCACCAGCCCAGGGAACCTGGGCGCCCTCCTTGTCCTGCCCGCCCTCCAGACCAGCCAACACCACAGACTACAATCCATTCAGCCAATCAGTTTACTGGGATTGCAGCTCCAGGGCGCCCCATCCCAACGTGCAGGTATGGGAGGGCCGGGAGAAGCGGATTCCTCCCCCCAACCATGGCCTGCCTGCCTCCCCTCACAGCGCACTGTGCAGGGTGGAGGCGGGAAGGGCCAGCACCTGCGGGTACTCGGCAGGTGCTGGGCTGGTGCTGGACAGGGGAGAGGGGCTCCTGACGGCTGGGGCCCCAGTCTTCAAGGTGACGGATCCAGTTCAAAAGAAGCTGTGGCTGCCTTGCAGCAACTGGTACCCAGAAAAGTCGGGGAAGTACCCCAAGTGACGCGTGGCTCAGCGACTATCTGCTGCCCCCAAACACTCCAGCCCAGGCCTGTTTCTAGGACCCCTGGACGGGGCGGGGGTGGGGGCAGGGGAGCTGCAGCGACAAAGGGGCTGGAGAGAGGACAGAGGAGGCACGCTGGTCCCCATGTCACCGCTGGGAAGGGGAAGATGGTGCCGGGAAGAGGCGGCTCCTGTCATGACGCTGCCCTGCTGGGGGACACAGGAAGGGCAGGGGGCTCTTGGGCAAAGCTGGACCCAGTGATAAGGCAAGCGCTGGCTCACTATGGCTAAGGGGGCACCCAGGAGGCGGGTGGGGAGGAGAGGAGCCTCCTAGAGACCCTGCTTGTCTGTGGGGCCATTACCTCAGTGTCAGTGCCTGGAAGATGGGGTGCAAAGATGGCTGCCTGCGAGGCCTCATGGCCCAGTAGGGTCTGTATCCACACCCAGAACAGCGGAACCACTGACGCCCACTCCACGCTGCAGCCCACGTGCACACAAAGGTCACACGCACACAGAGACAGGCAGCACACACAGATATCACAGATATGTATGCAGATACACACAGGGAGCACACACAGACACATAGATACGTGCAAACACACACAGATGCACACACATAGACACATGCACCAGATGCACACACAGATACATGCAGACACACACAGATGTACACAATCAGATGCACTCAGACACACAGATAGGCAGCACATAGACACACACCGATGTATGCACACGAACATACACAGATACACGCACACAGACACACACAGAGATACACAGTCAGCACACACAGACAGATGTACTCAGGCGCACACAGATGCACGCACACACTCAGGCAACACACACAGACACAAACAGATGCACACAGACATGCACAGAGGCAGCATTCATGTGCACAAACAGAGATGGTGCATCCACACACACATACACACACACACACACAAACACAAACACACACACACGCACACCTCCCCCCAGAGCCAGAGCCCAGACAGGCGGGCGTGGGAGAGGCAGGCGGGCAGCGTTCCGGCCAACAGGCCCCTTTGTGGCGCCCTCAATGGGCTGCGCTGCAGGGTATCCGGTTCAGCTGGCCTGGCGGGAGGGGCGGGGTGCAGTGAGTGTTTGTGGGGACGCAGCCCAGGAACCCCAGCCTGGGGCAGCCCAGGGAGGGAACAGCCACAGAAGCTGCCAACTAGGGCAGTGGGAGGCTCATGGCGTCCAGCACCACAGCAGGCCAGGACCGGCGGGCTCTGGGGGCCCAGCTGGTCACTGCTGGGCTCAACCCTCTCCAGGGGCTCCTCATCTGCCCCTTGGGGTCCTGACAGTTGGGGTGTCTGTGGCCCCTCCTCGCCTGCATCTAGGGCCACAAACCAGCCAGAGAGACGGATTTAGTGGGATCCCAGCCCAGAGCAGAGCCGTGCCACGGCATGGGGGTGGGGGTTCTTCTAAGTGTTGGGAGGGGGGGGGGCCCATGGGCTGGACAGGGTAGCCAGCAAGCCACAATCCCTTCGCAGGTCAGCCAGTGAAGATTTAGTGGCTAAAACGAGGGGTGCCCAGAACCTGGGACATACACACAGACACATGCACCAGGTGCACACACAGACACACACAGATGCATACATCTGAGGGCTCCAGGCAACAGTGTGGGACGGAGCCCACGGCCGTGTGCACTTCGGCACGCGCGGGCCCAGGAGACCGTGGCCTTCAAGGACCAGAGCAAGACTGAGCCACAGCAGGGGATGCGGGGGGACCGGTGGCAGTGACCAATACTTAGGGACAAATGGGGGAGACGGGGAGGGCTAAGGAAGGGGGGGACTGTTGGAGAGCCACATGGTCAGGGACCAAGCCCCTGTGCTATCTATCACCTGGGCCTCCAATCTGTTGGCGGGGGTTGGGCCACACACAATGACAGTCAGGACTTACTCCTGGCTCTGACATGCATGGACGTGCCGCCAACACGGGTGGGCGCTCAGACGTGGGCGTGTACTCACCTAGGCCCTACAGGTACTGATGCAAGCATATGGACACGGCACACACAGGCCCACGCACACATGCACACATGGGCAACATACACAGGCACATGCATGCAACACATGCACACACGAGGGCACATGGGCACACATGCACAGACACACACATGCAAACACATGGGCACACACTCGCACAAAAACACACGTGTATACATACATGCATGCACACAGGCACACACATACAAGCACATACACATGGCTCACAAATGGGCACACAATGCTGGGCACAAGGACAGCCATGACCTGACCTGGCCATGCAGTCACCCACAGTGTTAGTGAACCACTGGAAGCCGCCCGGCTGTATGTGGGGGTCACCCACCAGGTCCGGGGAAGGGGCCATGAGAATGACGCTATCCACGCTGCCCTCTCCGCCCACCTCTCGGGAAACAGGGTCCCAGGGTCACTATCTCAAGGAATCACCCAAGGCCCAGCACAGGGGGAGACAGGGCAGTGAGCACGCTGCCCCGAGTCCAGACCTAGTGTGGGCAGGAGGGGAGGAGGCTGTAGAAGCGGCCCCAGCCACTGGTTCTGATTCTGCTGCTCCCCCATACCCCTGCTTCCACGGCTGCAGCCTCCGGTTGGGGGGTGACGCAGGAACAGGCCCTCTCAGGATCTCCCCTCACTGTCCTCTCAGAGTCTACCCTCACTGTCCCCTCAGGTCTCCCCTCACTGTCCTCTTAGGGTCTCCCCTTACTGTCCCCTCAGGTCTCCCCTCACTGTCCTCTCAGGGTCTCCCCTTGCTGTCTCCTCAGGTCTCCCCGCACTGTCGCATCAAGGTCTCCCCTCATTGTCCCCTCAGGTCCTCCCCTCACCATCCCCTCAGAGTCTCCCCCCACTGTCCCCTCAGGTTCTCCCCTCACTGTCCCCTCAGGTCTCCCCTCACTGTCCTCTCAGGGTCTCCCCTTACTGTCTCCTCAGGTCTCCCCGCACTGTCGCATGAAGGTCTCGCATCATTGTCGCATCATTGTCCCCTCAGGTCCTCCCCTCACCATCCCCTCAGGGTCTCCCCTTACTGTCCCCTCAGGTCTCCCCTCACTGTCCTATCAAGGTCTCCCCTCACTGTCCCCTCAGGGTCTCCCCTCACCGTCCCCTCAGGGTGTCCCCTCACCGTCCCCTCAGGTCTCTCCTCACTGTCCTCTCAGGGTCTCCCCTTACTGTCCCCTCAGGTCTCCCCTCACTGTCCTCTCAGGGTCTCCCCTCACTGTCCCCTCAGGGTCTCCCCTCACCGTCCCCTCAGGTCCTCCTCCCCTCACCATCCCCTCAGGTCCTCCCCTCACCATCCCCTCAGGTCTCCCCTCACCGTCCCCTCAGGGTCTCCCCTCACTATCCCCTCAGGGTCTCCCCTCACTGTCTTCTCAGGGTCTCCCCTTACTGTCCCCTCAGGTTTCCCCTCACTGTCCCATCAAGGTCTCCCCTCACTGTCCCCTCAGGGTCTCCCCTCACCATCCCCTCAGGGTCTCCCCCCACTGCCCCCTCAGGTTCTCCCCTCACCGTCGCCTCAGGGTCTCCCCTCACCGTCCCCTCAGGTCTCCCCTCACTGTTGCCTCAGGGTCTTCCCTCACCGGCCTCTCAGGGTCTCTCCTCACTGTCCCCTCAGGTCTCCCCTCACAGCCTGCCTCCTCCCTTGGACCGGAATTTGCTCCCATCTCTCAAACTGTGCCCGAGGATGCAGCTTCAAAGCACAGTGACCGTCTCACCCAGGGGGAGGCAGCTGCCTCTTGGCTAGAGGGGGCGGGGGGGGGGGCGGGGGCACAAGGTCTCAGGCACCACCAGGGCTGGGCCCCGGCAGCACCATGCTGGGGGTGGCCCCGAGTGCCGCTGGCCATATGTGGCCCCCAAAGTCACCAAACTCAACATCAAACGGAGAGGCCAGAGGGCCTGGCAGGTCAGCTCCGAGACTGCTCCCTGGGCACCAGAAACACTCGAATGTGGGGGTCCCCGCACCTGACTCCCTGCCCCCGCCTTCAGACGAGGGATCAACCTGCACAGCCCCAGACAGACAGATGAGGAGGGGCCCCAGCAGCTGGGGTGGATCTGGGGGTGCCTGTGGCAGTGACATCAGCCAGAGAGTGAAAGACACGTGCCAGGTGGTCCCGCTCACATGCGGGACGGAAATAGCCAAAGCAGAGGGACAGGCGAGAACTGGATCCCGGGGTGGCGCAGACGGGCAGGAGAGTCTGGGGCCCTGGGAGTGGCCCCCGACTCATGCAACAGAGGGGGGCTAAAACCCCGAAATTCCATTGTGCCAAAAACCACGGGCGCACCTATGAACAATATGAGTTTGAAAAGCAAAATAAAACCAGAATTAAAATGTCCCTGAGCACAGGGGGATGCTTCACATAAAGTGAAGCTTTATGGGATGGGGTGACCACGCGGGGGACAAAGGCATGGTCCCTGTGGCCAGCAGGGGACAGCCCCAGTGAGGTC